GTATGACATTTCTTACATTAAATAGAAACAAGAGTATTTATTAAATCTGGTGTAAATGGCAAACTTCCTAATGCTATGCAGGTAAAGGGGCACTTTTTCTACTTTGCAAAATAATAGTCGCAGTTCTGCTGCTCTGTTAACCCTTTCTTCAAAAACTCTTTAGATCCACCCTGAGCAGCAAATGAAGTTGTTGTCTTTTGGGAGAAAAAATCCAAAGAAAAATAACGAAAATGTTCTGTTGCAGAGAATAAAAGACTCCAGATACACTCAGAATAGAGGTAACCTTGCTATTACAGTGCTTGATACTCCAGTCTTAATCATAGATTGTAATACAGATTTTTTAAAGTAATTTTCTGACTTGTTATTAAAGAAGTAAAGGTTTAAAGTATTAAACAATCATAAGATTGATATCTATCTAGGGACTTGAACCATGACTATCCATACCTCTGCAAGCACCAAGTTATTTCAGAGATAAGGAATGTCTGGTTATGTAGCTACTTGGTTAGAAGAATCTCAGTTCCCTCTCTCTCCTCCCGATAATTGTGAAATTCCTGGCCTAGGAGATTCTCGCAGCAAGAGGACGTGGGGGGCCGGGTCGCAAGCCAGGTGCAGCATGGCTTGGGGCTGGCTATTTTTGGTCTGTTGTTAAGTTTCAGCCGTCTCATGGTATCTCCAGTATAAGCTACATCACCTCTGCTAAGGCAGCATGACTTTGGCCTCAAAATGTTTACAGTTGCGTTGAGTATTCTTCTTAATGGGCAATTCATTTGAAAAAAATGCCATTTTTCAGGCATTTTTTTCTCCACAGAATCCCAATGCATAAACAAAAATTACTTCTCTATCCAGAGAGCCTTCTCTGCTCTTTTTTGTTAGCCTTGCTGTCTCCAAGAGGCCTCTGACACGGGAAACAATACATAGAGCTACTGAAAATGGTTTTTAAAAAATCTGATTACAGAAAGTGTTAGATAAAGGAAATGAGATATTTTGAATCAGATGTAGTTAACTGGTACTCATTTTGTTGTTTTTAACAATGGTTACAATAAGAAAGCTCAAAATTTGTTCATTCCCAAATTACTTTCAGCTTTTTACTTTTCCCCCAGTCTTTCTGATTCTTCTTAGAATTCTTCTGAATCTTCTTAGAAAAGTAACTGTGATAGCATAAGTACTATATAGGATTTAATTGCCCTTTAGTCATATTTTTCCTCTAAGAAATCACTAAACGCTTCATTATTAATACCAACAATACCAAAACCAGATGCCTGACTACTTTGATTAACTCTCTGAGCCAGAGATGGTCTTCCTTTTCCTCAAAGCACATATTACGTTTCTAGTCAGCGTTCAGACTTACATAAAACCTGATAAAGACATCCTTCCTTCCCATATCTCAGACATTTCAATTTATGCATATTCAGTGATTTGATTTATAAAGGGACTGTGAATAACTTAACTGAGATGTTCTCTGCTTAACCAAGTTCCCAGAGGAACAAAATATTTTAGAAATAAGTAACATTCATAGTGTTTCATTCATTAGAAAGAGTTTAAGAGTTTTGAGTACAAAATTAAATAAAGATTACAACTGGGGCACTGAGAAGAACTTTAAGAACTGACGAAAACTGCTTAAAAAACTTGCTTGGAAAAAAGATCAAGTCTACAAGCACATTTATTAATTTCTTCTATCTACAGTAATCTGAGACACATGGAGGAAAACAGTCCTGACATGCTATGAAGACAAAAAGCCCCCAAAACATGCCAAAGACGACACAGGAGATGTAAGGCATTACAAATTAGATGAATTCCTGCAGAGCAATGGGAAGGCAGAGATGATTTTAAGCAACAGCTGAAAGAATAACTTCTTTAAACTAGTTCCCCTTATCGCACAACAGCACATGCCAATCTAGAGCACTCACCACTTAAATCACACTAACTGTATCATATCAACATCAGCCACTGTTAGCTAGGGAAATTCATTCCAGTAAATTACACAAGGTGGTCTTATCACACCAATCTACTGCTGTCTGCTATGGCATATCATAGCTTGGCCATCGGTCTGACCACTCTCAGATGTCTCTGGACAGGACAGCAAAAGAGTTGTGAGGAAGGCTTTGGAAGAGAATTTTGTGGATTCTCAGAGAGCTCCTTTTCAGCATGCAAGGCCACCAAGGGGAAGTATGAAAGCATCCTGGATAGATGCAACAGGACAACACGGCATTTTTCAGGACCAGAGAGAGCCTGCTGTAAGAATCAAGACTAAGGTGACAGATGGGATGAGACTTCGCCATGTAGATGCAGCGAAAGGTCTGCATTTGAAAGTATTTGCTCCCAGAATAACCTGCGAGGTTTGGACACAGAACGGCTGTACAAAACTAAAGAAATGTCCGGCTCATGTATGATACTCAAGTTACAGACCGAGTCATGGGCAGGATGGGAATATTGTCTACAATGATTCACAAAGGAGGAGATAAATATGCTTCGTGTTAAGGGAATAAGTACTCCTACTCAGACGGGCTATGACCTAGCTGACAGTTACAGAGACGCTCCTGGAATCCAGTTTGGAAAGATGGAAAGAAGTCTGGAATAAGCAAGCAAACCTGCAATTCATCCATGCAGAGACAAGAAACTGCAGAAGATGTTGTGTATGAAAAAAGTAGGCATCAAAAGACATCATGCAGAAGCCTCCTCTTAACCGGAAAGTTGGAGGATGAATGAAGGGGACTTCCACGAAGATACAAGAAGGTGTGAGAAGAGACTGAAGCAGAAACAGTAAACAGAGGTAAAATATTCAAGAAGAGGTGCATAGTGACCATGTTGGTAACATGTCAAAGACTGAACCTCCAAAAACTCAGAATTATTCTTAAAACTCTTGAATGTTTGTCAAAACAGTGAACATGGTGTTTCTTTAAATTGGCAAAGAACCTGAAAATAAGTGTGAGGTACAAACTCAGAGGCTACTTAAAGTCCTCAGTGTTGATATTTTAAAGTTTTAGTCATCTGATCATAGCATGCACACAAGGAGATGAAGTGTCACATTAATACCATGTGGTAGGATTGTGGGTTAAGCTCATCTTTCAAAAGTTTATGACCACCGGGGCCCGTGGAACTATGCACAGGGATAAAAATTCATTAATAAGAGTGTCTTTGCTGAGTTCAAGGCTTAATGTCTATTAATGTTCAACTTTAAAAAATGCCATGCCCACAATTGCTAGAAAATATTAGAGACATGAAAGGTGGAATAGCTACAGCAAAATCATTCATAAAGTCACCAATAAAATGGCAGGTGGCTGTAATGTTAATGGTACTTCAAAAGCAGTTGACATTTAAGAAAACTGCTATGGCACAGTGAATGGACATTTCCCATGAAGAAGAATGTCAGCTTGAAATCTAGCCAGCAGAGAATTCACTAAATCTCTTATGAAATGTTTTGGTTTGTGATTTCTTTTATCTATAAAAAGAAAGTGAAAAAAAGAAAAAAAAGATTTGTTTTTTTCCTAACCTCAGGAAACTACTGAAAGGCAACAGCAAAAACCATATCCTAGAGTGCTACCAAATAAAAGTAATGAAAACATGAATTTTAGTCCCATTTTTCTGGGGATTTGGAGAATTTAGAAGAGGGTTTGGAAAGAGTTAGCTTAGGACATAGAAGCAGGCTAGGTGGCTCCATGAGCCACGTGGATGAGTTCCTTAGGTTGATCTGCTCAGCCTACAGCCCTTCAGGCAAGGCAGGATATATGCTCAGACTCTCTGGACAGAATCCCGTAATCAGAAAAATGGTCTGATTTTCACTAACATCTTAATTTCCTGTTCTATCCAATTTATTTGGGGCATTCAGTAAATGATATGAATTGCTCTTCTGCAAACATGTAATTGCAAACTTTAAAATTCTTCTCTAGTTCCAAGTAAATATCCTTAAGGAAAAAAAACGTTGATCAATGGTGAATCATATGTTTGCCCCCTAATTTAAGTAACTTCTTAACTCTAAGGTACCTGAAGGGAAAATGTTTCATGCATGACCTTCGGTTTCAAAGGTTCTGTTATACTTTAAAAGCCTTTAACTATATTTGCAATGCCAAACTTGCAGCAGACATCTTTTCGGCCACAGACCATCACTCTGTCTGACTCCTGAATGGAAAGGAGCATTCAGCACTAAACAAAACAGACAGACCTCTGTATCACAGCATGTAAAAACATTCTCTGCACAGAACTCTAGGTCCCTGAGAAGGTAGAAATAAAAAAAAGCAAAATATTTTTTTATATCCATATCAATAGCATACAGAAATGTTCCAACTCGCTTTCAAAGTTTGACAGTTATTCATAATAATTCCTTTGAACATCTCCCAAATGTCCCCTGAGCATCTCAAAATTAGAAGCTATATAGGAGTTATTTGTCAGAGATAGCCTCATGTTTATTTTTATTTGGCTTGGTTGCAATATATTGTCAGGCACTACACATTGAACTATATCAACATACCAAAGATCACACTGAAATATATCCTGGCAAATCTACTTCAAGGGGGTACATTTGCTAGCTGTACAACTACGTATCAGGAGGAATAATTCAAATCACACTTACTACAATGTCAGTAAAACACGGGAAAAAATCCTATTTTAACTTCTTCAGGAAGCTGGTGGATTTTGTATATATACCAGGTTCTGCTTTTACAGAACAAAGCCTGGGCAACATCCAAGGGCAATGGATTTAGACGTTAATCTTCAGGAAAATCTGCCCTAGGATGTATTTCTATTTAAAAGGTGGTTTTAATTTATAATCTGTGATTCCATGGGTGTATCTACTCAGCTCTTTTCCTCTTTGTGAAATAAATAATACTGTAACATCTCAGCAATCCATACTCAGACACCAACAACTTCAGAATTGTCTTACCCTACTCAGCAATGGAACAGATGTATCACTGGAGGGCTTTTTTCACTGTATATTTATGCATTTACTATACACATAGACACTGTATACAATATATAAAAGCACAAGGAGTTTGAAGAGTGCTCACCGTAAGTGAGAATATACAGTGGTTTTCCATTAGTATCCATAGTGGTTAGGCAAGGAGCTTTTGGTGAGATGGTCCCCCATCGCTGCAAAGCTGCTTCCAGAGAAGGCGGCCAATTTGTAACCACACCTAATTGTTCCCCACGCATAGCCAACATCTGAGCTCCTTCTGGCTTTGGCTGGTTTGGATCTGGCTGTTGAACTTATGATTATGAAAAGATATACAGTTACCATGTAAATTCTATACCTTGTGTACACCTGTGTAACCAAGAGAATAAGTTACCTTTGTAAAATATCCTGAAAATAATAACGTTAGAAGGTATTGAGAAGCAACAGAGAAATATAACAGAATAATTAACTTTTAACTTTAAGAGATGAAGCAACTCAAACATCTCAGGAATACACGTGCTTATCCTTACATTTGCTCTACAAGCAGGGAAAGAAACTGCTGAGGCAGCATGCATATATTTTATCTTCAAAATAATCAACCTTTCTTTATTCCTAAAGAGAGATGGAGAATACTTTTTCCTGGCAAAAATGCAGTAATGAGATGAACTGCAGAACTACTGAAACAAGTCATCAGTAACAGACTGACTTAAGTCATGTTCTGTTACAGTGATTTCTTATAAACTACTATGAAGACTATTTAAATCTCCACATCCTGGTAAATCTTAATTCTCAAAGCACTGGCCTCCTTAAAAAAAATCCCATTTATTGACTTTATCCTTGTTTCTATCTTACATTTAGTTCATTTTTTTGATGCTTCTCTGTTACACAAAGGATATGTAAAACATTTAACATGCTTCCTCACTGACAGTTTTTCTCATACTGGTGTTCAAAAGCAATGGCCTTAACCCACAGCTGAATGTTCTCAAAGCAAAGCTTCCCTCTGCTCTCTTCTGTTGTTTCTTTGCAAGCAGAACCAGGAGCTGAGCAAACGAGAGAGACTTTTGACTCTACAGCACTACATCCAAGCTCACCAGAGGCAGATTCCACTGAATACTGATGCTTTTTGGTACTTGCCAGCGCAGGGAGGGCTTACTTAGCTTTCTAGAAAGTCAATGTGCAAGACAAACGTTTTACAGTTTTAATAAGAGATCCCCAAACCTTTTGAAAAACAGTCATTTTACCTTCTAACAATTCCTCAAAGTCATCTACAAAGAATTCTCGTAATGGTGGTCGTTTGGGCCGTTTTAGTGTATTGACCAGCTGCTGAATCTTTGCTGACACTCTGCTGCTCACTGGTACTCCTGCAGGACAGGGATCAATGGAGACATCAGTTGACCGCTATGTCAAACGCCACCAGACGTTAAGTGGGGTAAGAAAATGTCTAGGACTGCAAGGCCACCACAACTACAGTTTCATGCCATACCGTGACTCAAGTATTCAACATTAAGACATTAAGATCATTTCAGCAAAAAGGAACAATGACGGCTAGTTTAAATAAAAACAATACAACAATGTCAGAGCGAGCTTACAAAATTAGAGGGGAAACAGCACATAGACTGAGGGAGAGAAGCTCCCTACAGCAATTGTCAGTAACCTTAGAGAACTCTTCTAGGTGGCACTGGAATGGTCTGTGAGAAGGCAGGCACTGGCTCTCCCCATGATCACTGGTCATACCAACAATGTCTGACTAGACCACAGCTCAGCACAGAGTGTGGGTCATAGGCTCTGCCCCATCATTTATTCTGGCTTGCTCTTTACACTCTAGTGGACATCTGTCCAGTATCCATCTTAAACATGGTCCACATCTTTGTACTACTTCAGCATGACCCTGTATTCTCTGAACATCCCTACGGCCAATCCCACCAGCCAGCAAGCTCCAAAGGGAGCGTGCTTGCCCACACAGCACTTTGAAAAACACAATTCTGAACAGGAGCATGGGGCAAGGGGCACTTTTATAATATAATCCCATCAATCACCTCCCCCTTCCTTTTCCCTAGTTGTGTGCAAAGCCTCTGCAATGTTCATGTCATCTGTTCCTGAACTAATAGTTTTCTGTCACTGCATTGCAGGAATTTCAACTTCCTACCCTTCCATACAGTTGGCTCCAAAACTTTTACCAAGTGGGTTTTAGAGCTGAAGCTGCTAAGTTTAGATGCGATACACTTGGTCAACAATTCTACACCTTGCTGAAATATTGTTTAATAAGTTTTAGAAAAGAGGAGCAGTAAATAAGAAAGGTTTACAAATAACTGTTTTTCCAAAAAGAGTAGTCAGAAAATAAAACTTCAAACACGTCGCTTTTCAAGATGTAGCCATCCTAGCACGCCACTTTCTTTGCCATTTAAAAAACAGACTAGCTGTAACCAGGCAGCATGATAAAAGCAGATCTAAAGAGATTCACTGCTTTCTTTTGCCAAACAATTTCTACAGGGAATCACCTCTGCTGATTAAGAAGTATTTCTCTATGTTGGCTTCATTTATACCAGTTTATTTTAGGACTGCAGAGATGCTGCAACTTTGTACGTGTTTATAAGTGAAAAGTGCCCAGAAGAAACAAAGAGCAGATGCGTACAGTAACCACTAAAAAGGTTACAATACTCAAAAAAAAATCCAGTTTTGCTTTGTGACGTACCATCACCAGTCTCCATAAGTTCAGCGTTTCCATACTTTGGTGCCACCCGTGCCGTTGATCCTTGTGGTCTTTCTACTTGTATTGAGTGTTCTGAGGTGTAAGTGGTAACATCTGGAGGGGCAGAATGATTTTCTGTGAAAAATAAGTTAAAAGGTTTAACCGTGTACCTCTAGTGTTGGAGGGCAGAAAAGCAAAGGGAGAGGAAAGGATACCATTTGATTTTTTTCCCAACATCTGAACAGGCGTTAAAGTTAATGCACAAAATGAATGTATACAACTATAATGTACAGCATGATTTTAATAAATAAAGTTTCCACTGATTAAAACAGGGGCTGTGTATCTGCAATCATATAAGCAATAGGCTAAAAAAAAGCTACAATAAGGTTGTAGGTTCTCCACTGACATTTTATTTTACAAGAAATTAAAGCTTTTGAACAGCCTCAAAAAGAAAAGACACAGACAAATATACTTCTGGTAGATTATCGCATCGGTTTTTCTAAATAAAAAGAATACACATGTTGTCAATCACTTCCAAGTGCCAATGCATATCCCTTTTACGACCTCTGTATTTTGAATATGCCAGTTTTAGTTAAGAAAGGAATCTGTTTGTATATTCAGAAAAAAATCAATCATATCAGAGTTGGAATCCAGGGGAAAGAAACAAAATGTAAAGAAACATGAACTTTGCGTTCTGCATGGACACTTGCTTGTCTATTATTTTTAGACGGAGCTATTTCAATTCTTCCACATAATAAAGACTTGCCTTCCAGAAGGCAAACACAATTTGGTCTGACTCATGCCAGCACTGCTAAACAATTCCACAGAGCTAATCTTTCTCTTTCACAGCCTGATAACTCAGCATGCTACCACAGTTTGTTTTCCCATGTTTTCAACTCTGAGTCTGTATTACCTACGTATTTGCACTATTTTTATGGGTTGTCCCATAATTTTTTTCCAGGTTTTTATCAGCATTAGGTTAGATGGAGATAAATACCATGAGCAAATAACAACTTCTCTCTTGATTGACATAAATGATCCCCAGCAGCCTCTGAGATACAAAAGAAGGCAGGTCTTCATCCTGCTGCTGCTGAAGTGAAGAGGAACGCACTCCATTCTACAATAGGGTAAGAGTCTTTAAAAATGCAAAAATTCTGCAAAAACTTCATGTTGTTCCGATACTATTTTCAAGATGCGCTTTTTATTAAATCTGTCCTATAAGCATTATGGTGCTGTAACTCTACTGTAACACCAACTTCTACAGTAAATTTCACCTCAAATGTAATTATAAAGCATTTTCATGAGTTTTGAACTTTGGATCATAGTAATTCTTGTGCATTCAATCCCAAATTCATGCACCATCAACACAGATAACTAATTTTTATGGCTACCCAGTAACAAGATGCTCTATTAGATGCCTATTTTGCATACTTCTCATTTGAAGGTAGCATTTGACGGACAATCATCACGAAAAATTAAGATATGATATTAATGTCTGTAATTGTTATTTAATGTTTATATTCATGAACATCATAAGGACTCAACCTTATCACTAAACCACAGTATCTGGTTGAGGAAAACATGAGATGGCTTTTATCATGCAACTCAAAAACATCTTGTGTCCTACACATGTCCAGTTGAGCCTTTTGAGTCTGATCACATCCATTGTTATAATTTTACTGAAACAAACACCTTGTATTACGCTGTAAGTGGCCAGCTGAACTATAATAGCTTGGACAATGAAGCTTATGCTGGCAATGGTTTGAATAATGTCTTCATTTTAGATGTCTTGTCATTATCAACTATTTTAGACTCAGCACAATTTTTGCCCTTTCTTGCTAAGTGGCAAGAGCTTTTTATAGATCATGATTGAATTACTCAATAACTAAGTCAATTAAAAAATGCTGATGTTTATCTTTTTATCTTTTACTTATAATGCAGTTTTGCTACGCAAATAGGAGAGGAGATCATGACTAAGAAAATAATTGTACTTAGTCAGCTATTAGTAACATGGGAAAGTATTTTTAAAGTTAGCTGTAATTGTTTTCATCTTTCCAGTGAAATATTTCCATCTTTCAAACGTTACAAGGCAAACTGAATAGGAGTTAAAGTATCTCCTTTCAGGTTTTAGCACTGAGATTATTTTTTTTTAAACGTGTGGGAGAGAAGATACGTGATCCAAAGCACCACAGAGCAGAGATGCTCTCTCTTCAGATGTATACACTTGAAACCAAATACTCCTTTGTAACACATGGTGCCGAGTAGGGTGAAATAACATGAGAAAGCAGCTTTTCGCTCTTTTGTAAAAGGGTTTCCTTTTGAACAAGCAGCACTGGCACTTGACATTACCTAAAAGAAACTCTTTTCCCAAGGTGGCCACCACTGGCTGGCCAAAGAGTGGGGTTTTAGCACCCTGGCTGCCCATCTGCTATTTACATTTCCATTAAGAAGAACCCTTATCTAGCAGAAGAGGAACATTAAGGTTTGTCTTGCTGTGTTCCTTTGTAGTGTCTGCTTAACAGATGTCTTATCATGGCAATATCTACAGCTGTAGGTTTCATCCATTAGCTTTACAAATCCTCAGTTGGTTCCCTTCTCAGAGTCAGGCTTGGAGAAATGAAAGTCATACAGACAAAAATTTGGTCTGAATGACTTCTAAAGAAAAAGGTAATTGTTATGTTATGTGAAATGTACCCTTCTTTGTATAGAATAGTCAAGCCAGGCTGAGACTATGGACACAATCTGTATAGAGCTGCTTGGTCTTATGTCAGGTAACTTGAAGCACTGTTTGAGGTTTAGTTAAGAATAATGATCCTGACACATCTGTTGACTAAAAAGTAGTAACTGTGACAGCTGCAGGACTTCAAAGCATTTCCTCCATCAAACTACATATTTGCATCACCTCTTCTTCCCATCTCTTCCAATATTCTTGCATTAGAAGATCACAGACAGAACAGCTGTTTCCAGTTAAGGCTCTCTTCATTTCTGCCACTGAAGTGGTATAATTTACCCCATTTCATGAAAATCAGAAAAAAACGACAATGCAGAGCACATTCACATAGGGATAGAGCATGTGCATTGATAGAGCCCCATGTTTGAGGAGAAACAAAGAGGTGGAGGAATACTTTCCAGTGGAAGTTTGGAAGCACACATAAGCACTGTGTATTTGAAAAGTCTCCGGGAACTCAAAAAGCATCCCTGCAGTACTATACTTGAAGAAAACATAGCTTTTTCTCCCAAACAAGCTGGCTCTTATGGTTGTCAGGGACGGAAAATCCAGAGTCAGAGCTGTGGCTTCTTCCATCAGCTGGGTTTCTCCTGTATTGATGTCCAGGTGACAGAGACTATTTTAAACTAGTCTCCTGTATTATAAGTTAATATTCCCCCTCAGAACACGTAAGAATGTTAAGGTTGTCAGAGAACTATCAGTCATGCTTTATGGTACATGTTTTTGCATTTACTTTACTAGAAATCTGTGTAGCCTTTAATTTGGATAGAGGCCTTTGATTTGGAGAGAGGCCTTTGATTTTCAAACATAAACATATTTGAAGCATACAAAAGAAACATTAAATGCACCTACAGGATCAAAATTTTGTAGTGAGATGTTTAACGCTTTATATAAATTTACAATCATAGGTAAGCACTGTGTGATTTTCATTACATGAACTTCCTGAGCTTTGGGATGTGCTTTCTCTCCTTGATTTTTATATATGTATAGATCCAAAAAATATAATACAGACAAATGAAAGCTTAAAGATCTTAGAAATATATACAGTACTGACCCAAAGATGGGTCAGAACATTAGATATTTTTTACAGATTTCACTGGTTTGACCTCTAAGTTCAAGAATTACCCAACACAATTGTGATACCTATGCCAAACTGAAGATTCTCGCTGTAGCTTAGGACAGACACCTATGTGTCTTAAAGCTGAGAATAAATATTTAAAGGATATCAATCCTAAACTAGAACTTTGGCCATAACAGAGCAGCAGAAGCAGCCAAATTAAATGAACAGTATAACATTAAAAGCATATAATAGCCTTGCAAATTATCTAAATGATCCACAAAGCTGAACTCTGATTATATTATAGCCAAAGGTTTTTATCAAATCCCTTCTCAGGACTGCATTACAGTACTTAAACTGGAAAAATCTCCCTTTGATTCTGTGATGTACTCTGGAGGTAAAATCCTAGTGGATATGAGAATGGAGGGCTTTTTTGGTTATCATTAAAGTTCTTTCCTGTTGCCCCTTAAATTTGTATTTATCAAAACTGGCATCTTCAGAGTATGGCAGTATGTCCTTACATATTTAGAGATGATATCTCTTTTGCAGGCTGATCTGTCTCTGGAGAACTCCCTGGACCGAACAAACATCAAGCCATGGGAATATACGTTCTTTGTGATAAAGAACAAATTGTCTCCAGTAGCTGAGGAGCTTCAGAGAACAGGATTATTCTTCTCTCTCACCTTCTCTCCTACCAAAGAGAATTATTCATCTATGATCACTGGCACATTGCCTCTGAAAGAGCAAGGCTATCTGTGGGAATACTTCAAATTACTTCAAATTACCTCTTAGAATACATTTAAATGCAAAATCCACCTCCTCAGATTGAAAAGAAACAAAAGAGCCATTTAATTTCAAATTCTCACAGAAAGCAACTCACCCATGAAGAAATACATCTTATAGTTATCATCTATGCAGCTTCTCTTATATTTCCAGTGATCTTAGCAACAATGACTGATGGTAACCTTAAGATCACAGTCTCAATCTGTTAGCAGATATCGCTCATATTTTGTATCCAAATGACCTTTAGATTACTACATCACAACTACTGCCCAGCTAGAGATGCAATTTAAGGTATCTTATTGTCAGAATGAATAAAAATATATATACACTGAGGCAAGCTTAACTGCTTCCTTCGAAGGAGAGATCTTTCCAGTTAACAACAATAAGGCAAAATAAAACAAGTAAAAGAAGTAGTATTTTTCCTCTTCTGTAGAATACTGCCATCTTAATTTAGCTCTATAAATGCTGTATTATTTACCGCAAACTCAGTGATTATAAAAGAAGACTTACTGTGCCAGATTTAAAATTACTGAAATGTCACATTATAAAGAAGCTATATTTAAAGACACATTAAGACTTGGTGTGTGAGTAATGCAACCTTTTAGGGTTTGGATAAATTTAATTCTCTATGCTATAATTTCCTCTAGCATTTCAAGATGAAGTCACAGAAAATAACCAAATGCAATGATTAATGTGTTCAGAAGTGTATGTGTTTCTAAAACAAGGTTCTAAGCTATTAATTTAGCATGAATTTAAGAATACAATAGAAATTCTTCCCCTGACTGCAATTCAGCAATTCCAGACCATGGTGAGAGGATTACTTATCTGAAATCACAGGTGTTACATCAAGCTATACTCAGAGCGAAAAAAAAGGGATACAGACTACTGTTCCAGCACATAAAATCAGGAACATTTAAGATGCTTTCATGTATCTCATTACATATACTTGAAAAGGAATGATCAGTTGAGGAACAGTCACACAAAACTGCATTTCATATGTGTAGTAGAACAGTAGCAAGGTTGCTTTATCTGTTCCAAAATAGATTCCAACAGATTTTCAGTGAGACAACCCAAAATACACAGCCCCAGCAAGAATGCACCCAAAGCAGATGCCTTGTATGATAAACAGCAGTTACTGGAGAATGAAAGGAAAACAAGCCTTGCTTTCCACGTGCCTAATCAAATAGTTGCCTCATTTTAATGAAGACTAATGTCAACGGCACAATATTCAGAAATAATTAATGTCGGTGAAGCTTAGCCCTAATGGAAGGAAAGCTTTGACTTCCTAGGATCTTTCCAAAGGATATAAACAAGCTACTACTAATAATAACAGATCTCTTCTTCGGAGGTATATAATAGACTTTCCCAAGGACTATAATAGCTAGATATCCCAGCCCAAGTATTCTAGATTCAATTAAGGGCAGAAAAAAATACATTTAAGAGGACCTACTGTTAACAGAAATATCAAAAATCACTCAAACTATGTAATTAAAATGGTGCAGCAGTAGGGGAAACTCATGTGCAAGCAATCCCTAAAGCTGCATGCACTGATTTTCCTTCCTGATGGATCCTACAGAGATCTTTTTTAGTGCTAAGTAATGGAAGTCATACAACTGCACATTTTAAGATATTTGGGAGCCAACAGCTAGACCCTGTTTGCCACAATACAAGTTTACCCCAAAATCTAGATTGCTACTTTTTTTTTTATTTTCTCATGAAATAAGAACGTAGGACTATCTGTCCATATAACATATGTAAATAGAAAAAAGGAAAGAAGAAAAAGCACAGGAAAGACTTTTATATAAGACTTCATATAGCAGCATCAGCTGAATGTGAGAGACAAAATGCATGTTAAACTGGACATACTCAAAACGTCCATATACTAACCTATATGCGTTTGAGCCATAACATCAGCTAGTCTGTGTGCAGCACCACTGCCTCCACTTTGTGTTGAGGAGGAGGAAGTGGTTGACGTGGTAGAGCCGTGGATTGCTTGACTGATCCAATGTTCCATGTTTATACTCCCCTGACTTGAGGTGGGAGTTCCCTGGGAGTCGCCCTGTACGGAGCCTTCATCTTCTGAACCAGAAGAAGTATCTAGTAATTAAAAACAGCCTGTTAACTTGCAGTCCATTTTGGGTTTTCTTAATAGAAATAAGGCATGTTCATATTACAAATCTAAAGATAACTGCCATTAAGAAAAACTCATGAAGGTAGGCAAACATAATAAGAAAAGTCTGTAATACTGAAAGCCCTGAAATGAAGTCAATTGCTAACTCCACACCGAGAGAGTTTTCCTGCTCTAAGGCCATGGCTTATGTATTATTGTACAAAAATAAGGATAATAGAAGAGTCTTCCTTTACTAAGTGGCTTGAGAATCTTCTGAAGATCACCAACCATGTATTAACAGTACAGAATACCCAAAATATTTTTCCACACTCACTCGACAAACTCTGTGAAAAACTTTTCCAGTTGAGGGGTAGAAAGCCCACCCCTCAAGAAATGGAGTCCAGCTGGATTCAGCAAGTATGAGAATGCATGAGATGTGGGGTATTTCCACAGTCTAGTAGGTAAAAGAGTACGTAAATTTGAAAAGGAATGGCACGACTAATTGCAAAGACAACATTCCATTATAGTGTTGGGAATAAACTAGAAACTTGAAAGGAACTTTGAGTCACAGAAAATATGAGAAGCTGGCCATAGTTAGGTCCTTGTAAGACAAAAAGGACCAATGCAACCTGAGGTACCACCAAGGGCAAAGCAATCATGCGAGCTGCCCCAGCTGACTTTCCAACCATTCAGTTCACCTTGTCTTCTTCAAACATATCTCGATGTTATGCTCAGTGTGCGTCAAATGACATTTCCATTATTATCTATGCAGGGAGATTATTAGTTCATAGCAGCACAGAGAACCATTTTAAAAATTCTCATAAAATACACAGAGGTGCTCACCTGGAGGTGTGTAGGCATCCATTGATGTTTGGACCACCAATGAACGTCGTTTTGAGGGCATGGGGACTGCCATTTTCCTTTCTTTATGTTTAGCAAGGGCTGCCTGAACTGCTTCTGTGTGGACATCTGGAAGGAAAGAGAGATTTCAAGCTAGCGTTCAGATGGAAACGAGCTGTTTGTTTGGGCATTCAGTGCACCTGCGCGCAGGTTCGTTTGTATGCCAGCTAGGCTGGCAACACATATCGAATGATGAAAGGCCAGGAATGCAGGGGATCTCAGAGAGACTGCGTGAGTTCTCCTCACTGTAGAAAAAGCAGCTGTAGTGAAAAGTGCCATATCAACAAACAAGCCCTTTGAGGTGTATGATATTCCCAGAACAATGTTGCAGTATTTGAAGAGTAGGAACTCCGCTTCTCCAGAGCAAACCTCTGTTTCACCAAGAGCTGTTACTTCAGCAACCATTACTGTTTTCAGTGAAAGCATAGTGTATTAACATTGCCCGTTTTTTAAATGAGTGAGGTTTCCAATTTACACAAAAGTCACACAGACTAAGCGAACAGGAACATTTGCTTGAAAGGTAAGAGGTATGTAAAATGTCACAACAGAAATGGCAGCACGTCCCCTATTCCCAAATCCTCCTCCTGCCTCCTTCACTTAGGTTTATTCACAGAAAAGTAAGTATTACGTAGGGTTGGCCTGAGGTGGAATGAGAAGAAAAAGCACAAGGCCTTGTGCTTCTTCTGAGTGCAGGCGTTGTGCTTCACAGGCGTGTGCTACACATAGCTCACACCAGCCCGCTCCAAAGCAGCCACATATCCCTCCTCCATGGGGACATCCCCAGTGAAGAGCTTCTCTACCTTTCACGTGTATATATAGCTGTCTACGTCCCCAAGTCTGAAAAAGGCCATTTATCATGTCTAAAAGACACTAGCGACATGTTTTGATGAATTAGTTTGTTTTGTGCAAATCTTTTAATTACTACCATAACTATACATTGAAATAAGTCTGCCTTTAGTTTACGACCTTGCACTGTTTGTCTGCATATCTCTATGGTTTTGGGACAAGATGTACATGAGGAGACTGTATACAAAACACATAAAGTCACTTATGGTTAAAGAAGTTGCCACACACTGGCTATCTGGCACACAACTGGAAGCACATTAGATGTTGCCTTTTAACCAGCCGCTGTTAGTCAGCTGTAGAAAACGCAGCAAAAGTTGTGTGACTATTTAGCTATTCCCATTTGTGAAGTAGGAGCAGAGTGAAGCAGGTTTAATCCAGAGTGATCCCACTTCTGCTGCTGCTGAATCTGTTTGAAGACCACCCTTGCAGACTGGTTTGGCAGCGCACAGCCTGTTTCCTACTCCTGTGTTGATGTGGTAGCAGCTCTGAACAGGCAGTGTTCCCCAAGAAAAGCAACAGGAAAGAGAAGAGTACGTATATCTTTATTTAAAGAGCTGCTGGTTGGATCACATCAGTATAAGTAACTTGTTTTAAGTAACAACTGTGAAGGATGACTAGAAGCATTGGATGATAACACCCTGCTGATAAGCGCTATGTCTCATTTTTCATAATAGTGTTCTCTATCTTCTGCCAGGGTTCAAGCACCTCTCAGTGGAAAGACTGCGGAGAACAGTAAGTCTAAGAAAAAGCATGTTATCAGCTGCCTATGTGAGTTGTTTTTTGCTTTTGTTTTAAATCATGAAGAGGATGAGCACGTCAGCGAAAGCAAAGCAAGAAAAGCAAGCAGCAAAGCTGGAAAAGCATACTTAAAAGATAAAAGAGCCATGCGGCTGACAGACCAAAACGGAGGAAGACTGCAATGCTAACAACAAACCAGAAAACAATTTCTCTCCTGTCAAGTCATTATTTTAAAGCAGAAGGTTTAAGGTCTTTCTTATAATTAAAACCTGATGAAAAGTTTATGTGAAAAGTATCAGGCTAAGAAAATATACAATGTAAGTCTTTACCTAACAGCATTTCCCCAAGACAAATTCCTACCTGCTCAGTCCACGCCACTGCCAACAACGTGTACAGGACTGAACATGCTCACTAATAGTTTGTGTTTCTTATCCAACAAACAGGGAAAATTCTTGGTTTTCCTTCAAAGGATAGCAATTAGATATCAAGCAGTAAAAAATGAGCTTTCCCTTTTAAAAATAAACAAAACTCTACAACAATTTTTGGAAGAGAATAAATTTTGCTGATCAAGACAGGAAGAATTATTTATATATTACTGTATTTAGGATTGTTTTTTACTGTAAGTATTAGGAGGGAGATGAGGTGTAACTCAAATTCTTCAAAAGTTTTTTAAAGGAGAACAGCTGACAGAAAATCACTATTAAAATGCTTAGTGACAGCTGGACACTGAATCATAACTTGCGAATTCTTTGATTTCTTTTTTGATGCTTTTCTGATGTAAGAAGGTAAACTCATCAGCTTAATTAAAAAACACTCTGCAGGGTTTTGATTTTCAAATGAGTCCACGGGAGTCCAGGAATTGAATTGTTTTCTTAATAAAGCACATGCCTGATATGTTTATTTGTAATGGGTTACTGTGGAATAAACCAAACTATAGATTACTAAAAAAGAAAAAAAAACACCAAAACCCCACAGGAAAGCAAAAACAATGGAAAAGATAAGAAACTCTGAATAAACAAGAGGGAAGCTGACTGGGGAGAAGGAACACACACACCTGCTCCCAGCCCAGCCTGCAAGGTCAACTATCCTGAAGGCATTACTCAGAGTATGGAGGCTACCAAAACAACCAGGACACACGTCTAGAAAAGGCTGGGGACAGACAGTCCAGAGGTGGTCCAGGGACTATCCGCAAGAGCTTACAGGCTTTTAGGGGAGAGGAAAAAAAGGCAGCAGAAACAGTCAAGCTTGGATGAAAAATCTTTTCACAACGTTTTCTCCCAGGAATAAAACTCTTGGCTAAATGAAGTGTCTCTAAGCATATAAAGCAAAGCTAAGGATTAGGTAAAGAATGAATAACAGCCTATGTAGTTTGTATGGTCTTCTTTTTGGATGAAAGCCTGAAAGCCTATTGATGGGTTCTGAAGATGCTCTTCAACCTATTTTGACAGTCTTGTATAGAGTTGGACTTGTTAAGCTAATGAACAGCATTCAAGCCATTCATACCTAGAGACTAAGTCCCAAAGTATTGAGAAATCAGAGAGGTGAGGGAAAGCCAGACTGATACTTAAGAATTACACTTGAGAACAACTCACAACATCTATCCTGTAACCACAGCAAGACAGAAACAGCAAGTAAGTTTGCATATCAGCTTCAGGTATGCACTTTCCACACACATGCTTTGCTTTTCTCTAGGTTTTAGCTTTGCTTTTCTATCTACAAGCCAACTTCGCTGATGTATCACAAGGAATGTTAACCAAAATACAACTTACAATCTACTTTTGTAGTTTTATGAAGCATGGATTTAAACCTAAACTGAAACATACATTCCTCATCAAAGGGTGACTCTGGTGATTTGCTTCTCATCAATTTGAGCACGAGTGTGGTAGCTTTTTGCCTTTATCTTGGTGAAAGATGGACTATGGTGTCCATCGTGCTGTATGTGACCCATTCTCTGCCACTGCTTGCCCACAATCTGTCCCTAGCAGCTACCAAAAAAACCCAAGGAGCCTTGTAATAGGAATTTATACAATAGTAATTGGAAGCTCCTTGTTCACTAAAGAAAGGAAACCACATTTGTGATACACACTGGGACAAAGCATAATGAGGGTAAGAAAACATATCCCAGTTCCCTCGGGACAGGAAACTGCTTATCCCCCCAAATCCCATCAGCACAAAACAGTCTGTATTCTCCACGTATCACACAGAGCATCAGCAGAAAGCATCACATTAGAATTTCAAACCATCTCTGGCAGGGTGATGCCCCTTGTCTTGCAGGTCTGACAAAAGTGTCTGAACTGTCTTCTCAATCTACCCTGGCACACTCAGGCTAACTGAATTCATCATACTGTGATTGAGCATTGCTTTAAAAAACACATTTATTGTTAAATTTTCCTGAAAAAAATTCTTCAAGTATGAAGATTTTGTCCAGAAACACCACACAGTTAGGAGCTTTCATTAAAAAAAAAAAACCAACACCACCTCTCCTCTCTTTCCTCATAGTGGCATGCTACAATTTCTTACCTACTATAAACTTCTGATAAGAGTTTCAAACATAGATACACCTTGATGTAGTTGCACTCAAGCCTTCTGAAAAAGTCCCGGGTCTAAGTGGAAAGAAAATGCTTTTAGGCGAAATATTCTTTCATGTAGAAGGCTGTGACATTCTAACTACGCTGTTACAGCTGATAAAAAGACTCCATGTCCTGACCCTTCAAAGCACTCCTATAGGTAACAAAATCTTTATACTCTTCCCACCACTAACACTCTTTTCCACAAGAAAGTCTCAACAGAAAATCTAGAGCATAGAGTAAAATATCACCACCTGTATCTACAGTAGTAGGAACCAATGCGCAGTTGCTTATCTGCCGTTGTCCTCCACTGCTATAGGTTGGCCAACCATATGTTGAATCCAATTTCTGAGTTTGTACTCAAGGAATCAATAAATGGAAAGAGAAAAGCAACACGTTTGGGAAAGTTAATTGCTTAACTTGTGCTGTTGCAATCAGCCTGGTGTTCAGTATTCAACCTGACACGTATTTCTTATGGGCTGCCTGATAATACTTCGCGAACTTTAGACAAAACAGCTCTGTCCCCAGTCTTTTCTCTATTGCATTCAAGCATTTTTATTTGTTTACTCTCTCCCTTTACTTTCTATCACAGGATAGAGAGGGCAAGCATACTTCTGGGAGCAAAGTCAGTAAGTGAAATACAAAGGAAGTGGAACTGTAAAAACAAGCACATGGGAGAGAGAAAGCTTCCCTTCAAAGAGCTAATGTTCTATTAAACAAGAGATGAGGCCTCAAAACAAAGGGCAGAGAAATTAAAACTGACATAGAGAATGAGGGTCCATAAGGTCAGACTCCCAGAGCGATGACCCATGGCTTTGGCCACTGCGTTCCATAATCAGAAACTCTCATCTATTGCAAATAGAGCTAAATTCCTCATTCCATCAGCAGGACGAATTGCCCAGCCTTCCCAGGAGGTGC